ATATATTTATAACTTATATTATATTGACCTTTCAGCCGTGCCTGGCTAACAATACAGAAGTTACAATGATGCGATACATGTGCACTCATGTTACCGTATCTAATAACATAAAACTGACCTTTGATCTTTACAAAGTTAACTTGTTTTGGCTGTGTTTTAGTCGACTAGTATTTCATAAAATACAGTCACATTTCAATTATTATACATTATATATGAATATACATTATTGCTATTTGAAATAAGTTCATAAACTTATTTTTCTGAAAACATAGAACAGTAAATAAAGAAGTAAAGCAAACAATTATCTCTTCTAGTTACGACCTTTGTACTCAATTGCTGCTTCACATAGGTTGCTAAGCCTTTAAAAGTTTTGCACGTGGAGGATATTAAACAAAATAATTTTTTTAAGTTATATAAAATTCCACAATAATTTATTAAGCTTAGTAACTAAGCTGTATTTTAGTCTAAACAAATATGAAATTTTGAGCAGACTAAAGACACACCCTACCTCGTTGAAATATTGGTTCAAAAGAAAGAATTGGCATCCAAACCCATTTAAATGGCTGAGAAAGCCACTAGGGGGACATTCTGAGCTTCCGATTGGTTATTCATTTCATATATAGAAGTAAGTGTATATACAGGAACGTTTCCGAAAATGGAAAGAGGTAGGCAGGGTATCACTGCATTTGATTTATTATATGAGCAATATCTTAACAAATAGAAAAGATAAGATGTTCTTATTTTATATTCTAGCTTGTCAACATCAGTAATTTGAGTTTCTAATTCGTACGAAACAAGAGACTTAGTATTTTGACTTCACAAACATCTAATTTGAACCAGTGTTGCATTCAACATACCACATGACACACAAAAATCAATGTTTGTCTGTGTTTTTTAATATTTATGTTTAAATTTAGAAACTGAGTAATGTATAGCACTAAAAATTCAATTATAGTCTAAAGTTTGATACCAAACTTACTGACATAAATTCATGAAATAGCAGTTTAATAAAATTTTGAATGCGAGTCAACAAACAAGATGACATGGCCTTTCACCCGTGACCTGTCTCGAAAGGGTTAAGGCTTGTTTTTATCTCTATATTACCTAGACAAAACCTCAGTAGACAATTTTATCACTGAAATGTTTTAAATCTTAACATAATTTCCAAATATCTAAATTAAAGCAATACATCTTACGAACTTTTTGTTAACCTCTTTCGAAGTGGACTTCTTATCTTCCTTGATAACCACTTTGAATCTGAAAGAGCCAGGTAGCAACAGGAATGCATCACCTGGAAGTATTTGAGTTTTATCATCTTTCTTAAGAACTCGAAACTCTCCCTTAGCTTGGGGCTGGTAGAAGCAAGGATTTACATGAGTCTATTTAAAAGAAGAAAATCAGATACAACTTAAAGAAAAACAAAACATAACAAACACATCAGTTACACTATTACATGTATGTGGTTAGTCATATACAATAACAAAAAACAAAGAAAAACAAGAATATTAATCAACATTCAAAACAGCCATCATTCACAATACAGTATGTTGTTTGAAAACAAGAGTTGAGGGTGATAAAAGGATATTTAACCTATGAATATAACCCCCTTCATTCACTAAAAGATAAGTGGTGACAAACTTAACACAAGTTTAAAAACTAATCAACTATCACTTACCACAGAGCACAAAACAAAAAATAAAGAGTTGTAAGAATATCAAAAACAATACAAAATAACACCACTCTAACAACAATTCAACATCATTAAGTGTTACAATCAGGCACACATAAAAATATGAAATATTACAGATTTAAATCATTTATTAAAAACTTACTTCATTCACGTTTTTTTGTGCAAAGATAAGAAAACACACCACTGACTCTCTTTTCTGATTTAGTTGCTGGATTTGTGTTAATCTTTACAAAATCAAAAGATGCATTATACAACTTCAAAATAAAAAGTAAATGTCACAAAAATAACATATTTTTCTTGATGTTTCACTCAAACATAGATATTCTTTAGAATATTACAAAAAATTACCTTTTGACAAAAGTTTTATTTTAATGCTACCTTAAAAGTTAAATTTAAATATAAGGTGGAAATTCATTAGTCAGATGTATAAAATTTAATAAATTTACATATCTTTAATGCTGATTCCAGTTCACATAGTCCAGTGAAAAAAAAAAAAAAAAAAGAAGTCCAACAGTGCAATGATACAATGTACATTTACATTATACATATTCAAGGCTCCAATCTGGTGTGTTACACATACATTACACTGTATCAGATTCCAATTTATAATTTCAAACAAAGCAATAGGTATAAAACAAGGTAATATAAGGCCATCTTTTAAATAGGTTATATATTATGTTCCCATTAACTCATACTGTTACTTACACGTACTATTACCTTAGATTAATTTTTTAAGAGATTACGAAATCCCAGAATAAGGTATGCATATTAAAACTAAACCAACACATACTTTCTCTACAGTTTATAATATCAACTATAGTTTTCACTGTAATCAAGAGCTCTCAAATTTGTCAAACCAGAAATTGTTTAATTTTCTAATGACCATATAAACAAAACTGTGTAATCTCTAGTTCTTTTCAATTTCAAATAGTGCATACTTGTCGAGTAAAAAATAATTAAAAATATGCTGGAATTATATTTACAATTTACCTTTTATCTGAAATTTTTTTTTATTACTTACAGCTAACAAGTTTACTTCCCCTTCATCACCCACTTCAAGAATGGCATGGTTTCGTGACACTTTTTTATCTCCACACTGCAAGAAAGAATACAGACAGAAGCATTCAATTTCTGATGCCAAACACTTCAGGAAACATTCTTTTACAAAACATTATGTAAGCCCATCTCCCTCAGTAACACAAATTAACAAGATAAGTTTTGCAATATTTTTCAAGCATTTTATAGGTCATTCATGATACAACTCCTTAATACAGAAAACATGAAGATAGCCACATACTAAAACTTATGAGCCACTTGCTTTTTTTCTACTGACAAAATGCTCCAGGCAATGTAACTTGTATTAATAAATTTTGTTTATATTCAACTGCAATAATTTATTTCTTTAAAAAAACCAATATTTTACTGTTTTATGTACACTTTCACCCAATCTTTTCAAAAAATAATCTGGTATTAAAATATACTATTTTCAAAACATTGATACTTTAAAGAAGTTTAGATTAAATATTTTCTCCAACTTTTATTACTTACACTTAAAACATTTTTAAGTTTTATATGGTGATTAATACGAATGAAAACTGAATGTTAAAAATTTTATTCAGAAAAAAATAAATCTACATGACTTTTAAACAATATATGGTCAATTGTTCAAATATTAATGTTGCAGCTAAAAAACTGCTAATTTTACCTTTCTATAACTATAAATGATATATATATATATATCTTTCAAATTTTCATGCACACATTCCACATGTAATTAATTGGATTCCTTGTAAGCAGGAAGTAGAAAGTTCATAAACTTCTATTAATTTTTCAGCTTAGACAAAGGTTGCATACCACAATAAATGTTCATTGGAGCTTATACTTATATAATGCCCTCCTGAAATATAGTCATGTGCATATAGAGGAGTATTGCAGCAACCTGTGCAAGTAGCATGAATTGGAGGTTTTTATCTCCATCAGAAATGTATAATGAAAAACATCATTGACTTATGTAAGCTAAGTTTGTTTGTTTTTCTGACTTGAAATTAGGTTTTTACTGTACTATGATTTCTGTTACTGCCTTTTTCTGGTACAGATGTGTTTTCTCCAGCTCCAGTTACCAGTTTCTAAGCAATAAATATTGAAGCTAGATAGTAGTTTAACAATAAAAACTTCATTCAACTGTTTTTTTTTCTTTCCTTTCGCTGTCCACATTCAAAATTATCTGCCTAACATTTCTGAATATGCTATATGTTGCAGATACTTATAACTTTTTATCAAAATCAATGAACCTGAATATCCCACATTAATACACAGACATTATTAATACAGCATATGCATTTTTGAAACTAGTTTAAAAACATTTATATGTATTCAGATTTGACATTAAATATCTGGCCATGTTTTTTGACTGATTAACTAAATATTCAGCTAATGCATAGTTCATATATTCCTTTAAATAAAGTTTCATTAGTTCTACAGGACACTGAAACTATGGTTCATCACGTTAACATAAAACTTTTCAAAAAGATACACAAATTAGACTGAATTGGATGCAATAACTGTACCTTAACAAAATATCATATTATAGTTACCTTGCCTGATGTCTATAACTGTCAGTAATATTTTTTCAAGACAGACAAAGGGATTTTAAGAACAGTCTACTCTTTTCTACTCTTTAAGCATGCTCTGTAATATATGCATGTTTAACATGTCACCAGGTGTTGTCCTAGTAGTAGTCAGTAAACACAGCATGCAAAGATGGGACTTAGTTGAGGGCTACTATAAGCACTGTGACCAATGATTTAGTGATAACCTCCAAGTTCAGTGATTATCATGAGCAGGGATGTTGTCAATGCCCCTGCATCTCTGTGCTTGCAGGGAGCCCAAAACCACCAGGACCTAATGGAAACTTCCAGCATGTCACAGGTTTTGAATTATTTTGTTTCAGTTAAAACATATTGTGCATTAATATCAAATATTTATTATATTTAACTTGTATTACTTCAGTACCAAAACAGTGACAATGAACTTAATTTTCTTCAGTTGATAAATTACATTTTAATAACAAATTATTAACTTTAAAAATTATATATATTTATATCTCATTTATATGTGATAACTATTTTATTTAAGCTGCTTTACATAAGATCCTAACAGCCCATGTAGCTTTCATAACATATCTGTAACTATTATTGCAGATGAAAGTCAATTATGTCACACATCAGGTATGTGGTAACACATCTGATATTTATTTTAAAAGAATGCATACAAGTGTTCCATGATGTGGAAATATTATAAATAAAGTATACATGGAACATCTTGCAAGTGATTCAAAATGCAATAAATGCAAGTGATTCAAAAAAGAGAAATAACCAAGCAGAGAACTCAAACCATGAAACAACTTAGTAAGTAGGAATAACGATAATTTTGAATTATCCAATAATTGAAATTAATTAATAATTATTTAGATTAATACTTACTTACAAAATAAGTGAAGGGCTAAGAAAGGACAAGTAGTGCTATAAAAATGGCAACACAGTACAACTGATATATGTTTGATTCCTAGTATAATGGCAAAAGCAACAGTTAACAATGAATTGAAAGTAATCAATAATCAGTAAAGATCAAGGGACATCCAAGTAGCAGAAAAGAATTTTTCACATTTAGAAGAAATAATTAACAAAGATAATAACATGATGTTGGACTGAACATTTTGGATATTGATTCACATTCACAAAATATAGATGACCAAGTCAGCAAAATATTAATAAATCATGGACCTATACAAGTTCATGGTGTTATTTTTCCATCTAACCAAAATCAGTCTAGGATAACTATTTTCATAAAATAAAAATATAGAAAAAGTGTCATGTTGTGAATTTGGCATAAATAAATCAAGCTTTTTTGTGTAACTGACAAGTTAAATCACCAAATATGTGGTTCAAGTGGAAAAGATGAAAGTTAAAATTTTCCTTACCCAAAAATGTAATTCTGACATAAACATCTTCATACAGTTAAGCTGTCGCCCCACACGTCTGCTCTTAGTCTCACGAGATTTTGTCATGAATTGCACTGTTGTATAATAATGTCATCATGCAGCAAAAGCCAACCCCCAATAGAAGGGCAACACACCTCCTTGCACACTTACCTTCTGCATGTGTACTCGTGAATCTTCATTCTTTGATGAAACAAGAAAAGAAATGTGCACCAGAATGGGATAGATGGTTGGAAATGTCTGTATGGAGGTGAGTATCTACTGGAAATACATATTCAGGTAATGAAAATGTTAACTTCTAAAACAATACCACATCTCTGCACACAGTTAAGCTACAATCCCATGTTGAAGTGGTGGAGAGTGCAGATCAAAGATCTACCTAGATTAGCTCCCTTCAGAAAGCACCTGAAGGAAGTCCATGGAGTGTGACACTCGATGGTAGAGGTTCCATAGGGGCACAAGTGGGAAACTACATCTCTTCTATTCCAGGGTATACTCTTCACTCAAGAATAAAGAAGGAAGAGGTAAATGAGCCTAATGTGTAGCAGGGATGGGTAGAATAAGAATATGACCATCCAAGTACTTTTACACAACAGTTTGGAGAGCCAATATGGGGCTCATTCAGACCATACCTTGTGTTCACCTAAACTATGTCGTCAGACTTTATTGGACTGACATCAGATGCCATGCCATAGAGAGTAGTATGGTGTGTATGCACACCACAATTCAATTGAACAGATATGACTAAAGGAGGAGAGCATGGGATAGTGGTGAAGGTTGCAGGAGGAGGGCAAGGTATAATATGTGCTCACCTCATCTCTACTGAATAGACTATGGCTGCAGAAGAAGGGCACAGCATTATAGAGTGTACTCATTTCAACACAACTGTACAAACTCAGGATGCAGGAAGAAGGCACAAGTAGCATAAGTAGAGTTATATAATGGATGACCTATACTACAATGACAGTGTCACACTTCCCACTGAATGGCACCCCTTGTGGTTAGGTCACAATCAGTGAGGATTCTCCATTGGTGACCCAGAGAAAATGACCAGATCCTCATTGGTCCTTCAGCCAGAAAAGTGTTTTACTGGAGACAGCACAATTGGTGACCACATATCCCTATTTTGAACAACCAGCAAGGGTGAACAAAAGAAGAAAGCAAGAAAAACCCTAATACTGGTTTTCTCCATGACAGTCCATGGCACAGATATAGTATGAATCAGAAAGTAGCCAGATATATAAGTATAACACAAAGATACCTCAAGTGTTCTTAAAGAACACCCCAGCTCACTCACAGTGGGAATATATGGAGCCAGGAAGAATGGTATGAACACTTCCCATTCTCCTGGCTAGATACAGAATTATGGAAATAAGTAAACCTTGGGAGGCACCATCAGCCACCTGGCACGATCATGTATGTGAATGCTCTAAAGTTAACATTTTCTAATATTGAAAATGTATTTCCAATAGGTACTTATTCCTCTCACCCATAGCTATCTTGACCTTCATTTGCCCTCCAGGCATTGGTAAATGTTTATAAAAGACTGGTGCACTATTTTTTGTGTCACTGCAGTAACATGTGCTGATCATGTGACCATCCTCCACCAAACCCATTGCATCACTTTACTAGTGCAGATTGCTCCCTCTACCCTTGCGGCACAATCCTCACTTTCAAGAGTTGGCATATACAAATCCTATGGTAAGGAAATAAATTTTCAGCATTAGAAAATATTAACTTCCAAAAGGATACTACCTCCACAACCCCCTAAGCTAGAACCTCACAGTGGAAAAGAGAAGAAGCCAGTGAAGGCACAAAAAAATAATAATAAAAAAACAGCAGGTGTGCCACAATTAAAATATGAGGTACACCTGTGGGGTATAGCACTACTTCTGGAACAGGTATGCTCTTTACCCAGTAAAGAAGATAAGACACATAGGACACAAACAAATAGAATACATAGCTAGGGCTAGAGACCTACATATGAATAGGCCAAATGCAGTCTACCCAGGCAGAAAACATCCAGAGGAAAAGCCTTGTGATACAGAGTATTATGCCAAGTGCAGTCCAAGGACAAAAACAACATGGAAACACCTTGC